AAGTCCCTCCTTATCCCCCTTTCGCTTGGGCCCTGACACCTAAATCCTTCCCTGATTCATCTGTGTTGCTCATTCCTTTCCCACCAAGAGTCCATGTGACTGCCTCCTGCCAGCTTCCTCGGTGCTTCCTCCAGGGGCCGTATGTCTTGCCTAACCTGAGGGCTTAAGTCCTTATGCTGTATTAGTTTCATTGCCAGAACAAATTAAAATTTCCAGAGAATCCACAGGAGAATGACATTGTGTGTTGGCCACGCAGGCTCAGACGTGAGTCATCCCACCCTGGGTTCTGCCATCCGAGAGTGGTCCCACAATTGCTTGTGGAAGCACAGCAGTGACCTATTTCATGAGCTAAACAACCTCACAACACACACACATTTCTTTAAAACTCATCATGGATTTGTCTCTTAATTATCTAATGTTGATACTATCAGTTTTACACTGTGGCCATCAAACTGCTCTGGGGCTAGAAAGGTCTTTGTGCGGGAGACCAGCCCATCCGCAGGACCACTTCTGAGCCACCAGGAGTCCAGGTAGAAGAGGCTCACTTTTGGCAGGAAAGGAAGTGGAGGGGTTTTGTAACAGGACTCATGATATCTCCTTAACACTGGAACTAACGCTCAAAGAGCAGGTAACCTAAGAACCAGACCCGACCCTCCCATCGTCCTGGCTGGTGGCCAGTGAGTCTGGTCTAGAGGACGATTCTAACCTCAGCCTCCTCCATGGTCCTTCCCAGCCTGTGTGTGTCCCCTGCCAGTCCCTCTGCAGGGGGTGCCCTTCTCCAGCTCAGGCACTCGTCAGATGAAGGAGGCACCCCTCCCCTTTCCCTGGAGATGGTTTGATCCATTAAATGCCCTCACTTTCCCTTTCCTCAGAAATTGTAACACCAGTTTACAAAAGAAAAATAGAAAATCTCTTGGGCAGTTACAGGGGTTGAGGGGAATGGGAACGACCTGAAATGGCGGAGGGAGCAAGAAGGTCAGGTCACATTTATTTCCAGTCCTGCCCAGCTTTTTTTTTCTCTTTAAACCTCAAGTTCCCTTTTCTTGACAGCATTATCAATTTGTTTTCTTTCCTCTTAAGTGCTTCACCTTGCCGTCAGCTCATCCTCAGGGCCCAAAGTGCTGATTCTGTGGTGGCCAGCTTCAGTTCAGCCCGCAGACCGTCCTGGGAAGGGCAAGGGGCCTCCGGCGAGGCAGCCAGGCAGTGCCCACGTGCGTGCCCGCCCGGCTCCTTGTGCTTCCAAGGGCTTCACCTTCCTTCCATCACCGCAGCTCCTCTTGAGAGTGAACGCAGGTGTGGAAGCTTGGCCAGGAAAGATGCACATTAACAGTCTTAGAAGTCTCACACACACCCCATCCAGGGACTGCTCAGGCCTGCAGCTCAACCCAAACATAAATCTTTCTCCAGAGAAGGATGGGGTGCTGAGAAGCTGAAGCATAGTGTGGGTGCCTGAGTGAGCCAAGGGAACAGCTGGGAGCTGGGGAAGCCTGCAGCCTCTCACTCCCCTGCCAGGCAGGAGGTGCTGCGCTGTTCTGTTCCCTGACAAGTGTGTGGGCTGCACTCTGGAGCCACTGGTTCTATTCCTGCCACAGTATGGGAACAAGCTATGTTGAGGGCTGTGCTTCATGAAACAGCTTCCAACCCAACAGTCCCTGGTGCCCAGTGTCTCTCGTGTCGCCCCCAGAGATACCAGCTGTGCTCCCCTGCACAGCTTATGCTCCACCCCACAAGTGAGTCACAGTCCCCTGCCCCCGTGTGCCTCAGACCTGTTGTGCAGTGTGCTGGAGCCGAGACCGCCGGCTTGGCCAGAGGGCAGGGAGTAAGGAGCCAGGGTTGGGGTTAGGAGGCCTGGCTTCTCAAGCCAGCCCTGCTAAAGCTTTGCTACTTGGAACAAGTCACTTCAAATCTTCAGGCCTGGCTCCCTTGTGTCAGATGAGGTTTGATGAACCGAGGTTTGCTTATTTGAAGAATGGAAATCTCTGCCTGAAGAGGGTGTCTGCGACTTCCCGCAGGGGCTGGGGAGGAGGGAGACGGGGGTGACTAAACCTACAAAATCCAGTTACAGAAGTGCTTTAGGACGGCAGCGTCGGGAGGGCATGTGCTCCTGGGGCCGTCTCCGGGGCGGCAGAAGGCGCTGAGGAGTGGCGGCGGAAGGTGACTAAACACGGGGTTCCCACGGCCCTCCAAGCGGCGCAGGCCGGGCTTCGCGGCTTCGCTTGGCAGAACCGCATGCCCGGCCGCC